TTTTTTAGTATACAAATCTCATTTGACTGAGCTTGAGTTACTAAGTGCATTTTATTAAGACAAATGCATAGTTACAAGACACTTTATGTGACTCTATTACATAAAGTACAAAACTACAATGAGGTTTATTGTAATGACACAAGATGTGAAAATGTTTAATGAACTTTTAACTGCTACCAGTCTGGCAGATCAGTGTTAACTGAGTTTCAAAGAGATTATAAACCAGATATCATGAAATACAGTACATTTCATGTGAAGGCATTAAAATAGTTTTTTCATACGAGCACGTTACTGCACACGACTGTCTGAAACCAGCTGGGCTTTTTAGAGTGATGAGAGGAACTCCTTAAGGATTCCAGTGACCCAAATCTGTACTAATGATTTTAAAGCTGCGACAAAGATTGCGGTGCTGGGGGAGTGATATCATGCATAAGGCGAGAATACGACGAGCTAAAGGCCCACCGCTGAAATTTTAACCAACTCTCTCCTCCTCCTTTATTTGCTGGTAAGTTTGGTTTAGAAGACAGTACAGCAGAGTGTGTGACAAATGGAGTAAACAAGCCCATTGGAATAAAGTTATTAATCAAAGAATAAATTATACTGTGGCCAAATTTTTGATTTATTGTATGGCTTTACTTTCCTCAGTTAGCATTTGCAGCCTGTTTACATTGAATGTTGATTTCTTTTTTTTGTTTGTTTGTTAAATTTTGATAGTACTCGTCTTTTTGATAATTTTGTCATTTACAGCAACTTTCCATGCTTTATCTGGTTCATAAACAATCAAAATATCCAAAGAGTAAAAGTCAGACCTCGTTTTAAAGACATTCTTATATTTGACCACCTGATTCAGGACTTCAGGACAATCATCTGCAACAATTGTCTTAAAAAACCCTTTCGCTTTGTTGCTCAGAAGACTAGTTCCTTAGGCTGGTAGAGATGGAACAAGATAATCACAGTCTGCAGGCGACGGCCAAGGATTGATGTTTGGGTCGAGCTTTGGGTCAGTCAGGAGAGCTCGACTGTTGTCCCTAAGGATTTTTGCTGGTCGCCCCAGTGAAGACTTCAGCCGAGCAGACATTTTTGGGTGGATTCTAACAGACATTTACAAGTTTGCTCTACGACTCTCCAGCCAGACAAGTTGATGACTTTACCCGATAGCTTGTAGCTTGTTTCGAAGCATGCACCAGGTGAAGCTAAGATAAAAGATTTGTCTGTTTGTCTATGACTAATCAAGCAAGCTAGTTTTGTTTTTACTGAGGTCTTCATTCTTCAAAGTCCTGTTTTTTGGCAAGTGAAAAAATGATAAAAGCCTCATCAGTATTCAATGCGAGCCAAATTTAAAACTTTTAAAACATTTGGAGTACAGTTAGTTTATAAATAGATTGGATATGCAGCACATTGCATCTACTCAACTACCATAAATTAAATTAAAATGTATTTTCATGATCATTTTATGTGCATGTGTGCGTTCAGTTTTGGAAGACCCCCTTTTCCATCTCTTTTGGGCATCCTGTATAACTATTACATGTCTTATTTTCTTGAGAACAGTTGTTTTTAAACCTCAACATATGGTAAATGTTTGATGCTAAAAGATTCAACTTCAGCAATAACCAGTTGTGTTACACAGATAACTGCAACCAAGACATCTAAAATGCACCACCGCCTGTACGCCTTTCAAAACATGAAATCAAATCGGCCGATGTAAACCGGACACACGTTCTGCACTGCGACGACCATAACCAGTCTGGCAACTTTTCCACTTTCCCCATCTGCTGCCCACCTGATCAACACCAGCTCCTCTTTGACAGACTGAAAGCAGACTCAAACCTTCTGCTGGCGTTCCTTTCTGACTGCTGGACAATTTTTGCTCCGTGACCTTTAAGGCACATTTACCGCATCATTGCTTTAACTACATATGCAAAACTCAGTAAATTAAACGTGCTTTTATGTCTTACGGCGGTTTAGGATGTTTAATTTATTCTAATCATCTATAGCCCATATCAAGTTTGCTCTAGCACAGCCACATGGCTTTAAATTGCATACACAGGACAAACGGCGCATAGGCTACAGATGCAGAACAGGTAACGTGACACTGTTGTGAAAAACTGAATCTCTTTCAATAGTAATAACATCCTCTAAAAAAAAAAACAAACTAACTAAAAAGCATCAATAAAAACCCATCTGTCCTGTGGAGAAAACAGTACTAACAGCAGCAGCTGCTTTCTTTCAAATCAACCATCAGTCTTAGCTTTCATCCCCGATTTCCAATTCATCAATCTCCAGTCAGTCTCGCCAATTTAATGCGTCGCAACGATGTAATGAAAACAGCCATCCAAACACGCTCAGATGCGAGTCGCAAGGCGCCGAGGCTGGTTATGCTCCTCCCACCTCCAGGAACTCACCATTATCGCCACGGGGGGCTATTAACCCAAAGTGCTAATTACGTTCATTGGGCTGCAGATTGGATAAAAAAATATGTCCAAAAATGTTCAAAATCTTACAGTGATTGGTGTATTTATTTATTTTTCTTTTGCTGTATTTTGTTTTTCATGTTGCTTTCTTGTCCATTCTCATGTCTTAAGATTTAAGAGTTCATTACCATCCGCACCTGCAACACTTTCCTTATGAAGAAAATCAACTAAATAACCTCTGGGGATGAATTAATAAGAGGCATTGTTTCCTTGTTTGGGTACTGCCTCGGGCAAAACAGGCTATGAGAACATAAATCTTCATTTTAATCTTGCTTGCATTGAAATTGGAACATTAAAATGAATGAAATAACAGTCATTTCCACATTTTTGTTTGTATTAAACACATTTAAATAAATATTAGTGGAAAGGGACACAGTGCAATACCTTGTACTAATATTTAAACTAATTGTTTATGAAACTGTTGATGAAAAACATTTTAAAAATGTCAGCTAGCATCTTTTAAGATGCTTGTTTACCCTGTAAGAAGCCAATACTCAGTTGTCCACTTCGGGTCAGTAATAAACTCTGATCAGTAATAAACACCACGTCTATGGTGATACGTCTATCACCATAGACGTTGGTGATCTAAAGTAGGTATTTAGAAATAATGCTCAGAATAATGTGAATAACACATTAATAAACAGCAAGTGTTAGTTATAACAAAAGTTTATAGACACTGTTACTTAAAAAAGGCAGGCATATATATTAGATTTGTTATATTTGTACATCTGTTCGCAGGATGACAAATATGGGGACTTGGATAAATTAAAAAAAATTGTCAGAAGAGACGTCTAAAGCGATGTGGCACCAGGGCTTCATGTTAGCTTACCTGCTACAAAGAATCTTAACCAATGATTTGATTTGTTTGTTTTCATTTTCTCATGTAGAATCCACAGAACCAATAAAATTTGACATTTCCTTACGCCCGAAGAGACTGAAAGCACATTCATGCGCTTTGGGTTGTGCCGTCGCTTACAGGTACGGCAAACAGAACGAGGAACGCGCCCAAGCCAACCATAAACCCTTATCCACTCGGCTTCCCGTCTAATGAGCCGTGGACGAAAACAGAGGAGAGTCGGGATGGTGACACCACATCTGCCGTGAGTAATGGCTCCGAGCTGACTCTGCTGTGACAGCCTGGTGGTTGGGATAGGGTGGTGGATGGAGGTGGGGAGGGGGTAGCTGTCAGAGGAGACTGAACCCACGTCGTCTGATCTCCTACTGTGAGAAGAACTAGACAGAGGTGGAAGCAATGGCCAGCACACACAGACACATACACCACATGCCATGCCAAGGTATGAGCCGATTTGTTCTGTAAATGACTCCTCGTCCAGCTAAATCAGCAGTAGTCACACAGAAGGTGAATTTTGGCAAACCAGATTTTCCAGATTAGTATCCATTGACAAATTTCTTTCCATTACTATTTATTTTTGTCAAGGTTAGACAGTAAATGAACTTCTCTGCAGTAGCACCCACAGCTAAGATAGATAGCTAGATATTCTGTTCATCTATCAATATGTTTACCAATCATTTTGCCATCCTTCCTTCTCTCCAGGTTCTACATTTGAATCCCAGTAAATGAATAATATATGCCAAAAACACATCTTAACACTGAGAGCTATGCCTGTCAATCTATCACCATCTAACATAAAGACATGAGTGGAGACCCAGTTGCCATATGCATCCACTCGGTCACTGAGCAACACTTGCTGCGACTGTTTATTGTGCAACACATACAGCCAGAGAGGAAAATGCTCCAATATGCAATCTCCGAGCATCACTTCTCTAATTTGCCATGTCATGCATCTGACAAATTCACTCTTGTTTAAAATCTTGGGTCAATTTTCAATTATGCCGACTGTCAAAATCGGTCAAATTAGCCAGATTGTGGCAATGAATTACATTTTCTATGCGCTTATGTGGGCCAGATCAGATGGGATTGGAAGCAACTCTGAAAGCGTGATGAATTAAAACAAGGCCTTTGTTGTCTTTCTTTAAGTCCAAATACTAAAAGGGAACTCAGAGGAGGAGGAGGAGGAGCGGGGCTTCCAGCTGGCTTCGCCCGACCATCCGCTCAGCTTCTGCGGGGCCTTCCTGCACCGGCCGGCAGTAGGCAATACAAATCCTGCCGCACCACCGGAGGGTTGGGGCGGTAGGGGGGAGCGAACCCACAACACACTGCCTTCCCTCCCTCCGCTCGCCTTTGATGGCAGCTCGTCAAGATGCAGTGCGTGCGGCGCAGCGAGCGCCCAGACCGCAACGGTCTCTCAGCCCTTTGATGCTCTGCAGAATCGACGTTAAAAACACGCACACGCAATCTCCCGTCCTCAATCACTCGCACCTGACGTCGTTCTTGATGGTAATTACGATAGTGAGGATGCCGCATCCAAGGAATGACTTGAATGACCCATACCCGCAATATATGGTTTTTTTTTTTTGTAATAATCATCATAACAATGGGAAATGAAGCCATCGTTTTTTGAGGAGAGTGGGGTAAAAAAAAAGAGATAATCTCATGTCCTCACTTACCGTTTTCTGCAATCCGGTTGCAGTTTCCCTTTTCTTTCAGCGAGTGTGTCTTGATGCTGCTGGAAACGATGAGGTGTGTGTGTATGTGTGTGTGTGTCTTTGGAGGGAGCGTGCCCCTGCTGGTGCATCCGTCCCCCCTCAGCCCAGCCGCTGCAACAGCAAGCTGTGTATTTTCACCAGCTTCCCCCGCCGCTGTCATAAGCAGCAGCAGCTGAGGAGACGATCTATGATTGGGAGGGCGCACTCTTCTGCGAAAAATACCACCGCTCTCCTGTGTGTTAATTCTTTGAATTTTTTATGATCTCTGTTTTGGATTATTAATGTCAGGATCGAATTTTGTGAAATAAATCATCATTGACGTTTTATTATCTTTCACATTATATTTGATTGTAAAATAAAGCGACATTTTTTTTTTAAAGTGGTACTACAATGTTACTATACGCAGCTACAGATGACTATCGGAAAACGTTTGTTCCAACAGAAACCTGTACATCAGAATAATATCCGAGTGACAGATCTTCAAGTTAAATTGTCTCCAGAGAATAAATAAACCGCGCCGACAGCGCGATCTCCTAATGAGTGGCGTAAATGGGAAGTGCAAAACTTGAGATGAGTATTGGAAACAAGAAACTTCCAGAAGAGTGGAGTTAACAAAATATTGTACAAGGAAGGACCTAATCAAAATGTCACAGGTTGAGGGGAGCAGAGGGCAACTTAATTCACTCTTGGTCTTTGCCATTTTTAATTCTTGAATAATTTTGTTAATAGTTAGTGGTGTGTGAATATCTAAACTGCTCTACAATAGATTGACAACATTAAAATCAGAACCACCAGACTGCCACACAGCTTTCTGCTTAGAATTGTTTAAATGGCAGCACTACGAGTCCAAAATGGGGAATAACACTTGTGAAATGGTTTCCATTTTCCTCATCTCTCACCAATGTAATTCACATTTTAAATAGCAGAGGATTCCTCTAAACAGCACATTTCACCAACACTTACCTCTCTCAATTGAAGTCAGACAATGGCTGAGCGTCTCTCTCAAGCAATAAGACTGCTGTCACTAAAACAGTCGTCGCTAAGTGCACAATGTTTGTTATTTTATATGGACAAATTGGAGAATTAACCATAAGAGCACATTCGGATTAACAGTAACATATGAAAATGTGGTAAAGGTGACGATAACGTAGGCTGACAGGCCACAGACTTACTTTTTTTTTTTTTAGCAATGTGAGCCTATAAGATATGGAGTTAAATCACTGGGTACAAAAAGTGTCAACTGCATGCAGGATAACAAAAAAACTCTGGTTTCGGACTTTCTGCTAAGCACAAAACAGCTCCACGGCGTGTTACTTTAGTTTATCTTTCAACACTACCTTACTGTTGGGGGTCAAGACTCCATAAACGTCCAGACTTTACACCAGTGGGCACAGGCACCTTTGACGACAGACAAATAGGATGCATTTGTGTGTCCAGGTGTGTCCCCGGACTAACCGAGTGGCAGGGACACGTGGAGGGGCCACACCACCGTCTGAATGTTTCTGCTCAGAGAGGAGACGTGGAGGCGGCCCCCATGTTTTCCTTGCAGACATACCATCCCAGTGCTACAGTGCTCACAACTTACCCATACCTTAAGCAGATGTTTCATGACGCTCAGAAAGTAAATCACCTGAAAGACGAAACGTTTACTCTCCGAGCTGTTTAACAATCATTGGATCCACTCCAGAGTTTCTATTAGGAGCTGGCCTGTTTAAACAAAGACAAAAGATAAATCAGGATGAGCCCATGTTGCTTTGACACTCACCAGACTTAAGCTCCCCTACTGGTGTTGTTTGCACGGCAGCCATCTAGACTTGATTTGATAAACGCCGACGTGAAGCAGTCTTCAGTCTTCCCGTTGTCGATGCCTCTGGGTCTTTATCACACACCTTATCCTGGCAGGACTCGGACGAGGGACCGGAAACTACAAAGAATGTTTTGCATTTGCTCATCAGGTGTCAGACTTCATAAAAGTTTACTTGCGGGATCCAATCAGCTGCAACCTAGAATGTGAAGATGTGTTCAGAAGTGGCTTCTATAAAATTAATTCATGTCAAGACTTTAAATTATGTTTGCAAGAAAGAAAGGACATTTGTTGTGACAAAATGTGAAAAAGTACAGTGCGTAAGAACACTTGCTGCCAGAATGAACAGCGAAAGACAGGGATCCCATCATGCATTTCAAAACAACACACATCCATAATAACACAAGATCACACAACTTGTACTAAACAAAGAGATTGTAAGCCTATCACATCCTTTCGTGCATGACAAAAATACACTTGGAGCAATAAAACATACACACAGCAGACACACGGCTTCTTGCTCCGTTTCTGCCAGATCCGGGACAATTATAGGAAAGCGTGGGTACTTCGACAATATTGTAAATAAGACCGAGCTACAACAGTTGCTAGGGAACGCCACCGGACCACACAATCCAACCCGGCTTGTGGAGGAGGTGGGAAAGAGCCAGACAGGTCCTGCCACAACAAGCGACTAATGATGCGGTGATGTGAGCGACAAAAATATATTTTTTGTTGCCTGTACCAGAGTTTTTGGCATTTTGGCTTTAAAAACTCTGAAAAAAGTTGTTGACAGACTTAAAGACTGGGGAGCTTTAGGCACCATCAGGTATTTATTCCTAAAAACAAATACCACTTCAAATTTAATGAAACTAAATTATTTTACTGGAGATGCTACAAAAATAAAATTGCAACCATTTCCACTGGTATTTACATATGTATTTTATTTCAAATTTATTTGAGCCAAGATATAAAACAATGTCACATTCACTTTGGGAGATTCCTGCCATGCAGTGCAGCCTGTGGTTCAAATCAGGTTTGTGTGTCGTTTATGAGACAAATTAATTTCATAAAATGCATGTGTGTTTTGACGAAGGGTAACAAATTTATAATCTGCTGCTGTGTAATGGCATAGTGACTTTGCAGTCTACTGCAAGCACTTAGAATGCTGAGGTGAGTGACCTTTCATTGGTATGGACAGAGTCCTGTTAGTGCAGTATTTTAGGGTTACTGCATTGAAAGTTGTATTTGCAAGTTTCCAAAGAAAAGCAAAAGTGTCCATACTAACGTGACTTGTTTTGATTTTTAATACTTTTTTTAAAGCAACAGAAAGCTACATAGAGGGCTGATAAAGTTACTTCAAAATTTAGGGTATTTTTTTTCCAAACAAATGTAAAACAAAATACAAAAAACAAAAGAAAGAATAAGAGAAGATCCTTCACTTTTAAATATCGGCAGTCGTTGTGGGTAAGATCCATGGTGACATATTACTCATGGTGGCCATAGCAACAACGGCAAGACATTTAGTGATGTCAAAGAATTTCACCAAATAATAATTACAGAGATCAAAAAATGAAGCGGGGAATTTGCAGCTGAAAGAAACGGGACGACAATCAGCATTGAGTGACGACTTTATTGTGCAGTGTGAAAGTGTGTCAAACATAATAAGCGATACTGTCACAGAGAGTGCCATCGACTCGGATGAGACGAGAAATCAAGTGCGTTTTAATAATAACTTTTATTGTTTCATGACATTGTGGATCTTTTTAAAATTCCATTAAGGAACAGAGACAGAAGGAATCACAGCAAGTTGATTCTCATAGCGTTAAACATGCTCACAATATGAAAGGTTTTACATAACGACGGCCCAAAAAGTCAATGCTTCAAGCAGAATAAGCATGCTTTGAAAAAATTTAAAAAATGAGGCCAGTGAATGCATTCGTTTTATTTTCTTCCTAAAATCTACAAAGAGGAACTTAAAGACATTCATGATCGTTTCAAATAGTAATACATTTTCTCATTAGGATTAAAAAAAAAAGGTTATCCTACAAAGTGCACAAGTTTTCTGGTTTTACTTTTGTACAGTGTTAGTAATAGGCAGTCCTATTTCAGTTCCCAACGTGCAATCACATATCCTTTACACCCTAATCCGTTCAAGTTACCAAGGACACAAGCAAACATCACTTACAGGTAGAGATGCACCTATCAGACATTTCATTGCCGATACCAATTTCCAGTTTTCTTTGAGGTCCCACTTTCTCGTAATTTAATTCCCTTAACGACTTGCACATGAAAAATAAACGTTCTGCAGTTCCCGCGACCGAGGTAGAAGTTTTGAATTGTATAGACAATGGAAAATTTCCCAAATTCCTTGAATTTTTTTAATATTAATTAAGCGCAAGCGGCAGGTCAACGCATCGTTAGAATGTAAATGGGGGACTTTGTCGATTTTATCCATTTAATGCACAAGAGGAAAAAAAAAAGAGTTCTGACAGATGGGTGCAGCTCTATTTTCAGGCATTTGTTACACATGATGAAATGAACACGTCACACATCCACATGTCAGGCCATGAACATGTGTCTCACACATGTAAATTATTTACATTTTCAATGTTCAAACTCAAGTCAACTCATACTTATACAAAGTTTTCTTTTTTTCTTTTAGAAATGGATACTTTTTTAAATCTTACATCTGCCATAATATTGCCTATGACACATATTCCTTTTAAACTACAAAAAAAAATATATAACACATTATTTAACTCCACTTCTTTCATCTCAATAATGTAATAAATAAACTGTTTTTAGCATTGGGTTAATATCATGATTAGCCCATGTAAACGTTTAGGAATGAATCAAATTCCATATAAGAATGCGTCAGAAAATTGATTTTTTTTTTCCCTCCTCCCCATTGCCCCTCATTGCCTTAAAAACTTACAGTTTGGACACGAAGGGGATTCCCTCGTACATGTCGGCCTTCAGCTTGGCCCACTCGGCCAGCTTCTGGATGGCGCCCTTCTCCTGGCCCAACACGCTGGCCGCCTTCTTCAGCTTGGCCTCGTTGCGCTCGAGGTAGCGATCCCCTTCGCCTTTGAGGAGGTTCAGCTTTTCCTGGCGGTTCTCGTTCAGCGGCACGTCCTCGCTCATGTGGGGGTTGAAGCGGAAGTAGGTGTCCGGTGGCAGCAGGGCGTCCAGCATGGTGTGCACCTCTGAAATTGAAGGTTCACGTCAAAGCCAGGACCTACACTCTGATGTGAAATCAGTAAAAACTCGCTTTAGATGGAGTCTGGCACCTACAGAAACAGCACTCTACGGTCAGTGGGTTAAACATGATATTTCAAAGATAAAATGTGCAATCCGAAAACAACTTCTGAGCTGCAAACATGT